GTTCTAGTACAGGAAGATTTGTAGCCTTCTGTGGGAAAGACCAGTCTAGATGTTGTAGGCTTCTGTCCCTTGCTAGAGGATAACTTTTACTTTGGTTAAGCTGTGGTAGAGATGGTGAGATCCACAGTCAACTAACTGCTGCAAGAATGTGTGGAGCTACCTTCCTGCAAGACCTCACAGTAGTGTTTTCTGTGGAGTCCCCTCAGCTTCTCCTTCAGGTCCTGTGAAAGGTAGCCTCATTTTATTTAGGAGTTTATGAAGTAGGCTGATTTTTGTAGCTTTTTGGTTTTTGTTGTTTAGGGTTCTTTTTTTTTAAAAAAAATAAAACTTAGTGTACGAATTAAATGTTAATCTCTGTAATAGCTCCTCATTTTCTCTACTTGCATCGTTAAAGTTTCACTGATTGTCAGACAGTGAATTACTGCTCATACAGGTTGACAGAGGAGTTCACTGTATGGAGTTAAAAGCAGGAGCTGTTAATTAGAGCACAATATCAAATTACTCAACTAGACAGAGAATATCTCAGAGCAAGTGGAACAATTACAAAATGGGACACAAGGGAATGCATGATGAGTCCTTTTTTGTTTGTTTGTTTGAGCAAGTAAGCTTGAAACTTTAAATCAACATTGATGTGATCAGGGAGGGAGTGTGTATGAACAAAGTGTGTTGTCATTAAGTGCCATGCTCGCTGCTTTTACTGGAATTACCAGGTGTAACACACAGACTTGACAACCCACAGTGTCTAATCTACCATATGATAGAGTTAGTGGGATGGTGTGTAATGGTGGAGATGCTGTATCCTTATAGGAAGGTTTTAATTACACTGTCTTATACATGATTTCCTATTATGTGAGCTCAGCTTCAAGACATAAAACTTACAGGATTTTTTCCAAAGAAAAACAAATGTTGAGAGGATGTTTATCTTTAAAAGAAATTGTGCATCGATCCCAGGAGCCTCTTTAACTGGAGAAAACACATGTCAAACTTCACTACACCGAACAGGGCTGTAGCTCGTCCAGTAGATTTCTCTAGTCAACTCTTCACCTCAGCGGAGTTCAACGAGGGCAAGATCAAATCCTGT